AGTCAGAAGCACAGGTTATACACAATTTGTGCTTGTGACTGGCATTTAAAGTAGGGGCATTCGTGTAGGACTGAGGCAATTATTAATTATGTGACATACAGAAGAGTTACTCAGAAAAAAAAAAATTCTACCTAGCCTGGCAAGGAGTAACAAATACACAAATAGATTCACAGTTGCAGTAAAACATAGGCTGAATTTTGTCATAACTAAAAATTGTGACCTAACTTTAGCTGGGAGGACCTACAGAAGGGTGGGTACTATAAAGAGGCATTATTTATCATAAAAAAGTGACAGAAAATTTGTAAAACTGACAAATCAAAAGCAATTGGCATGTTATTAGATACACGAAAATAACTCAATGTGGTGGCACATGCCTATCATCCCAGTATTTAGGAGGCTGAGGCAGGGGCATTTCTGTGAGTTGGAGGCTGGCCTAGGCAACCTGTAAATTTAGCAAGACCCTGTCTAGAAAAAAGAAAAGGCTTGTGATATAGCTCAGTGCAAAGGCCCTGGGCTCAATCCTCAGTCTACCAAAAAACAAAATTTAAAACTGCCTCTGCCAGGTGTGGTGGCACATGCCTCTAATCCCAGCACTCGAGAGGCCTGAGGCAGGAGGCTCACCATGACTTCAAGGTCAACATAGGCCACATTAAAAAAAAAAAATAGGCTACATAGTAAGTTCAAGGCCAGCCTTAACTACATAGGGAGATCCTGTCTCCAAAAACGAAAAACAAAAACCCTGCTTCTGGGGTCAGTAGAATGAGTATTTTTCTTTCCTCATAAAAATTTTACTATCACATGATTATTTTTGCTTTTAATATGCAGTACATACACTTTGATTTTTTAAAAAACAATTATCTCCCTCCCTGGCTATCCTGGTTGCTTCTCATAGCTGGATCAGTCCCACATCTACAACAAGGAGATGGTCACTGAAAAGACAATGAAAAATTTGGAATCTATCAACTTTGGACTCCAACCTACTATGGAAAGTGAAGGGACCTGCCAGGGACACAAGCAGACTTAAGAAGGAATAGGCAGCCCAAAGCGGATTCATCATTCTTAACAACCACTACCCAGCTTTAAGGAAATCTGAGCAACTACTGTGCCAGGTTGGCCAAAGGTATCCATAACCATGCAACAGCAAACAGAAGCATGAAATGTCACCCAGTATTTGGAGGCAGGCTTATTTAGCATGCATGGGCACTGACCTCAAGAAAAAAAGTCAGACCTCAAAGGCCCAGGGAGGGAGGTTTCTATACAGAGTTGCAAAGGTGAAGTTCAGGTGTAAAGTACTTGGCTATCTTGATTGGCAGCTACAATATGTATCATAGTGAACAGCTATGCATCACAGTGACCAGTCATTTCTAAGAAATAGAAGTAATAGGAACTGTTACCTGGGCAACTAACAGAAACCAAAGCATACAGCGGGTATGCGTGTGTGTGTGTGTGTGTGTGTGTGTGTGTGATTTCTGTTACAACCTATGGGCCCTCCTTCCTTTTGAGCAAATTGAACACTAAAAGAACAAAGGACATTCCAAATAAGTTACAGAACAATGACACTATGAAGAAAAAAAAGAAGACAATTAAAATACTTATCAGCCAGGCTACACTACAAGGCTACAACAAGAAAACCAGCATGGTACTGGCACATGAACAGACATATGGACCAAGGAGCAGAACAGAAGATATAGTAACAATTCCACACACCTACAACCATCTGATTTCTGAAAAAAGGGACCAAAAACATGCTGAAGAAAAGATATCCTCCTTAAGAAACAAAGCTAGTGCCAAGTATGGTTGTGCACACCTATAATCCCAGAACTTGGGAAGTTGAGGCAGGAGGACGACTGCAAGTCTGAGGCCAGCCTGGACTACAAAGTGAATTCAAGGCCAGCCTACACTGCATAGTGAAACTGTCTCAAAAAGAAAAAAAAAAAAAAAGAGGCCAGTGAGATAACTCAGTGGATTAAGCACCTGCTTAGGAAAGCACAGGGATCAGGGTTCAATCTGTGGCATCACATGCATGCTGGCCCCACCCCAGGGTGTACTGAGCCAGCCACTGAGACCCAGCATGGTGGCACATGCCTGTAATCCCAGTGCTGGGGAGGCTTAAAAACAGGAAGATCACTAGAGTCAGAGTCGTGTAGTGAGACTCTGTATCAAATACATTAAAAAAAAAAAAAAAAAGACAAGAAAG